TCTGACCTAAAGATATCTGTGTACAGAAACTGTAGAATGTATTTTCCTCCTGATGAGCAAGAATGGGAATTTGCTGTATTTGAAATGGAGTTGCCATGGCCAAAGGACGTTTCAGGATGTTTGCTGCTTTTATTGCAATCATCATGTCTGTGAAACCATCTCCATCTTCCTGGGATGGGCTGACCTGCTTCCTGGCTTGGCTTATCCCTGCAGTGATGGTAGTGCAGGAGAGACCCCTCGTTTTGCAGGGGGCAGTCTGCACGCATGTGATGTTTAGTGCTTCTGCAATCCAGGACCCACCACCTGCTGAGAAACAGAGCAAAATGCTCAAACATGTGGGTGCATAGACTAGAGGATGTAAGGACAGGGGTGCAGTATGAGGGTGAACAGGGGTACTTTCATCTCGCCCCCTCTTCCTCCCCCACCTCACTGAAAAATGAGGCACTCGCAGGTCTCTCACAACGCATCCCCTGCGAGTCACCCTCCAGCACCCCTCATCTGCCAGCACCCAGACCAGATCCTCTGCAGAGCACCACAGAAAGGCGGAGGCTGTCTCCTTTCCTCACCCATTGCTTCCCACTCCTCCCTTTGGTCCCAGGAGCAGCAGGCTGGGAAGCAGCTGTTGCCCAGGCTAGCGATCAAGGGGGCTGAACCCAATGGCTGAAAGGGCTTTGCCGGGCGAAGGGGAGAAGAAACTTGGAGAATAGAAGACCCACAGCTGGAGCAGAGGATGTAAAGATGAGCCTACAGCTGACTGGGATCTGCTGCTCCCCTGGAGCTGCCAGAGGGCAGCTAGCACAGTTCTATGGAGCCGGGCAGCATCATATTGGTATGCAGGAAGGAAGGGAGCCGAGCTGGGCTGGTGGAGGGCTGCAGGGCAGGACGGACCCGTGCTTGCTGAGCCTGCTGGCAGAGGTTCATGCTGATGGCTGAGGAAGCGGTTAGAAGCGCACGTTACAGGGCTGGAACAGGAGAGCAGAGTAAGTGTGGAATTCCCCTGCTGTTTTCCTCCTCCCTCGCTCTCCTCTATTGCTGCTGGGGCCATTTCCTCCCTTGAACAAGTTTCTCTTGTGTGAATTGTTTGCATGGTTTCCTACTGCTCCACTCAGACAAAATAAGGAGCCAGGAGCAAACTACTCCCACTACAGATGGGACCTTATCTAGAGAGTGAGAAAAATTTGTGAAAGCAAATTCTACTGACTGCTGGAGCCCTTGTCCTAAGTGCTTCTGGGGTGAGATGGTGAAGGGAGAGGCTGCTTTGACAACAAGGTGTCTTGCTCCACAGATGGGGGGATCTGCATGGTCAGCCCTTTCTGTAGAGGGAGGGAAGAGGACAGCTGGAGAACTGGTGGGACTTCATCAGTTCTACTTGTGTGTCAGAGCAGGGTATCACCCTCACTCTTACTCCTTACCTCCAGTTGCAGGCATCCTCAGACATGGACACTTTTCCTACCAGGCGCTTGAGGTCACTCAGAAGCCGGGGAAATGGACAGCACTGTGGAAACAGGTGTTCTCCTGTTTCTAAACTAGGACCACCTTGGGCACAGCAGTGCTGTGTGTTCAGATCTGGGGACATCCCCAGGGACGGCCCTGACCCCTCTGCTCCAGGATAGTTATCTCTCTGGTAATAAGTAGATCACCTTGTGCCAGGGATGTCCTGTGCCCGTGGGATCTTTGTGATTCAGAGTGCTAACGAGTCCCCTTGTGCCAGGATGGAGCTTGTGAACAAGAGGAGAAGCTGAGAACAAGCTTGGCAGTCTGTCCTACTAGGTTGGGCACCTTTCCCCTGCCCTTTCCAAAATGCCCTGTTGCCCTTTCCAAAAGTCCCCGTGGCTGCAGGCAGGAGCATGGGGAGGGAGGGAGCAGGGAAGCAGCGGAAGGCAGGGGAGAGGCGTGCGGGCACCTAAGGGCAAGGGTCCAAGTGTGGTGGGGGTGGAGGGCTTCTTCTGGCAAAGGAATGGGGCTGTGGCTGGGTGGGGAGGGGTGTTCTGGCAGCAAGCAGCTATCTCTCCGTCGCCATGCCCCAGCTCTGCAGCTCAGCTGTGAGCGCTGAGTGCCAGCCTGCAGCAGCCCGTCAGCAGCTGGACCGCGTGGCTGCCATGGCAGAGGTGTGCTTGTGGCCTCAGCTGGAAGAAAGTGGAGGTTGGCACGATGCCTGCGCTGCAGGTCTCCTGGGTGTAGGAGGTTTTCTGGGTTAGCAGGAGAAGATCCCGATTCCCGGTTGGCATTGCTGCCCATGGCGCAGAGTGCCTCAGTGCACGTGTGCTTTCGGTGGGCTCATCCCAGCCCGGTGGCCTTGCTGCGATTCCCCCGAGTAGTTCATGGCTCTCACAGCCGTTTCAGGAAGTTGAGGGCTGGCAATGAGGAAAGGGGGGAAACAAATGCAGAAATGAAAGTGCAGGAGGAGACTGCACCCTGGGGTGGAGGAGGAAAAGGGAGAGGGGGAAAGCCATCCATCCTTCAAAGCAGGCGTGTCCCAGCTTCAAGGCGAAAGCCTGAGCTCTGGCTGGGTGGGGATGGTCACCCCTATCTCCTCCGTGGCACAGATGATGCCCAAACTTGCTTGTCATCAGCCGAGCCCTGAGCAGCTTCACTGCCTCGTTGAGCTGCAAAGCCACCCAAGCCAGGAAGAGCAAGGTGCCGGTGGTGGCGATGGCGGAGGGCTGCCTGGGGTTTCCACCTCCCCTGGGTGACTGCCCCACTTGTTCCCACATGATGGCGCGGTGTGGCGTGGGTTGTGGCCGGGGGGATTCCTAGGGGCGCGGGGGCTGGCTGTGGGGGGTTGCGACCCCAGGCACTGCTCTCTCCCCCGGGAGCCCAGCACAGCTCCGGAAAGCGAAAGCAGCAGAGGTTTAAAGTTCAAGCCGAATTGCCTTGGAAAGTCCCCTGTCTGAGCGGTCTTATCTCTGCCATACCTGAAAAAGGCAGATCCCACGGCCTCCTCCCGCACGTGGTGCCTGGGAGCAGGTTTGGAGAAACAGGGGCTCTCCCTGCAAGCGGGCAAAGGACGCTTCGGCGGTGCAGGTGCTATCACAGGGAGCAGGAGCCTGATGCAAAACCCAGCAGGGAATCTCCCTGCCCAGATCATACCCGGGCCGGGGCCAGTGAGAGCCCGCCAAAGGGAGGGGTATCCTTGCAGCTGGTCTCCCAGCTCTGCCCCTCGCTCCTGCCCTAGCCAGCCTGGCCTGGGCCCTTCAGCTGTATCCCTGTCCCATGGCCCACTGAGGGCAGACAGGCCCTGCCTGTGCGGCTGCTCTGCCCTGGCTTGC